TAGTGAGAGGACAGACCGTACGTGTATTGGATGCGAGTGTCGACCAGTTTTTAGGCATACCGTACGCCGAGCCCCCTATCGGTGCCCTCAGGTTTGCTAAACCGGTGCCCATTCAACGACCCCGAGATGTGAGTAAATTTATTTTATAAAGTATTTAAATAAATGCCAACATAATTAGTAATATGTAAAACTTTATTTTTATGTCAGGGAGTCATCGATGGAACAAAACCGGGCAAATCCTGCCCACAAAGGGGGCCGTTATTTACGCCAAACACATATATTCAGAGCGAAGACTGTTTAGTATTAAACATATGGACACCAAAAACGGGAAATAATAACACAAACAAATCACAGCTCAAACCCATTATGTTTTACATTTATGGCGGAGGACTGAGCACTGGATCTATTGACAAGTTTAATGGCGGACCCCTGGCCAGTCATGGCGTAGTGTTTGTCGCCGCTAACTATAGATTAGGACATTTGGGTTTCCTATACGGGGATCGGGAGGACGCGCCCGGAAATGTCGGACTCTATGACCAGTTATTAGCTCTCAAATGGGTATCAATTGATCGCTTGTTTTAATTATAATTTTTATTCAGTAATAAAATGATAAATAAACTCATATTTAATTACAGGTCAGAGAAAATGCTGAACAGTTTGGCGGAGATAGGGATCAGATCACCATTTTTGGCGGCAGTGCCGGGAGTTGGTCGGTGTCCGCACACATACTCTCCCCGCTATCCAAAGGCCTATTCAAGAGGGCTATTATGCAAAGCGGCGCTCATATGTACAGTAAGGACAGGGATGTGATCACTAAAGCCGAGGCCATAGCGCTCGGCAAACGGGTGGCCAAGGATTTAAATTGGGACGGGAAGGAGGATTGGGTTGAGTTTCTACGTAAAGCCAACCCAAATGATCTAGTACAATCGGTGGGTCCGGCCACGTTTCCCGTCGTGGGCACCGAGTTTTTGCCCACTTCTGCTCAAAACGCTTTCCGCCAAAACAAACTTCATTCGGGTCTGTATTTTACGATTAATTAATTATAATTTAATATTTATATTAAAAATACCGTTATATCCCGTAAACAGACATCGATTTAATGGCCGGAATCGCTACAAACGAGGGCTCAATACTGTCCAGAGGTCTGTTGCCTACAGACGGGCCGATGACTGTCGCGGACTTTATGGCGAGCGTAAAACTGGCCGACGCTATGCTTCACGGACTTGACTGCCAGCGAGTGGCCGACCATTACCTGTCGGGTGTGGACACCGGGAGCCCGACTGCCCTCCGGCGGGCTTTTAACGACTTTTTCGGCGACTTATTCATGAAATACCCGACATTTGTGTTCGCCCGACAAATGGCGGCCACCAATGGTGCCAATTGCCGGGGCGTATACTTCTATGAGCTTACATATCAGGCGCCGTCTGTGGCCCAGTTGTATAAATGCGATGACCCGGACTCAGGCATCGGTCACGCCATGGAAGTGCCCTTCGTGTTCGGCTTTCCCTTCGCCCCCAACCAACCCCTGCCCTTCACAGACACTGATCGCCAGTTTAGTAAACACGTGATGCGGATGTGGACTAACTTCGCGAAATACGGGTACATTTTATTTTTTGTTGTGTTTAAAATTGTGTAATTATTTAAATGCTTTTTTATTTACAATAGTAAACCTGATTCTGGCGATTGGCCACAACTGGTGAGCGGAAATGTGGCCAAAGTGTTGAATTTAAGCCCAAATCCGACGGTTAAAGTGTTTGACGATCCGTACGCTAAACATTACGACACCTTTTGGAAAGATTATTATTTATAACATTAGAAATTATAATATTGTTAGCATTTTTATGATTTAATTTACAATGTTTAGTTAGAATTTATCTCTATTATGAATATAATGTTATAATAAAAATATACATTTAAAACATATTTTTTAAAGATAGATAGAGAGAGAGAGAGAGAGAGAGAGAGAGAG